GCTTGCTTCATTATTAAACTTCTTGGCGAAGTTGTACACTGCTTAGTTGATGGATTTCTTCCAAGGAATATTTGTCTGAAATATCTCCCAGCAAAAAACAGGAGAATTAGTCTACTGGTATGCTTAAACTATGGGCATTCTTTTCTCATCAGTTAGTTGCGCCATTTCAAAGAATTCGAAAAGAAGATGAAGTGGCAATAAAACCTCTTGAGTTGCGCCTTTTAATGCAAAATTTTCTAAGAAGTATCGGGGAAAAAAAGAAATAATTATTTTTAGAATTTGAAATTGTCTAAGTTTTGTGCGCCACCCTGTATATTGTTGGCTGTATTTATTCGAGGTCCAGTCAAAAAGTTGGCGGAATTGCTGTATTACATGAGACCTGTGAGTTTATAACGTTTTATCCCCTTCAAAGTAGCTTACTTCTGCATGAATACAGCGTTGTCAGCGATCGTGCAGCTTCTGGAAGCAGCCTTGGAAGTCTTCAACTGCAATGTCTTTCGTTCGCTTTGTCACATTTTTCTGAATGTCATCAAGGTCTTCATACGACTTCCTTTCAAGGCAGAATTAAGAAGTGTCACATTGTGCCATGTCAGATGAATAACGAGGGTGTCTAAGCACATTAATCGATGGTTGGGAAGGTTCGATGGTTGGTTCGATAGTGCTGCATGAGCCAGTGCATTGTCATGAAGGAGACACCAGCCTTCACTCTGCCACTTTTCAGGGCTGCGGCTGAGGATGGAATCTCGTAGTCTTCTCAAAACTTCCACGTAAAATTATTGGGTCGCAGTTTGTCCTTGAGGTACAAATTCTGAATGCATGAACCCATTTGGATCAAAGTAAGCAATTAACATGACCTTGACTTTTGATTTCTGCATGCGAGCCTTCTCGGGCAGCGAAGAGTTGGGGTCTTCCCATTGTGGACTCTACCTTTTGGTTTCTGGGTAGTAAGCAAACGCCCAAGTCTCATTCCCGGTGAGAATGGAGCCCAATAAGATTTGGTCTTTCAGAGAGGTTGTCAGAATGTCTTGTATGCCATCTCTTCTCTGAGCCTTTTGATTATTTGTGAGCAGTCTTGGCATAAACTTTGCACACGATTATTTCATTTTCAACTTTTCGGAAAGAGTACTGGGTGTCCCAGAAACCCCGCCCCAAGTTTTGTACATTATTATGTCTTTAGTTTTTTTTTCTGATGGAAATGAGTTTTGCATCATTCGAAAGCCTAGACCTTTCTTAACAATTGCTGGTAAACGTGACGGTTTGGGATTTCTGGTTGTGGGGATTTTTGAATAAGAAGGTGTATGGTACAAAATCCCAAACATCCCTAAACCTCAAAAGTGCCATTTCCACCAAACTGAATTCCATGAGCTTGGACATGTGCCAGAAAGCATTGAATGACTTCCTCCAGTGATGCAGTATGTGTCATGATCAGAATGTGAACCAATTTCAGTGGCAAAAAGATGGAATCCCTATTTTTAATCCCTGCATCCCAGAAACCTCCCTCCCAGTTTGGACAGAAACTAAGACTAAGTGAATGGCGCTGGTGAGGTCAAGGATGTGAGGTGTTGTGAGGTGGAGCATACACCTTCTCCTTCAAAAACCCCACAACTAGTAATCACAAACCATCAGATTTAACAGCAGTTGTCAAGAAAGGTCTAGGCTTTCGAATGATACAAAACTCATTTCCATCAGGAAAAAAATAAAAACATGATGTACAAAACATGGGGCGGGGTTTCTGGGACACCCTGTAGAGCGAAAAATTCCATGTGAAAGACTCACAATCTTTTCACAAACTTTTTCTCATGACGAACCAAATTTTGGACCTGATTGATATTTTCTTCAGTGACGCTGGCTCATGGCCTGCCATTTCTGTCATCATTCACATCTTCACGACCCTCACCAAATTTATTATTCCATTTAAAAACTGTTGTCTTTCGATTTGCAATATTTCAAGCAGGAAAATGACCCTTTTCCCGCAAGGAGCATAAGATGCTCGGAGGGAGGAAAGAAGATGAAGCTTCACACTGTGTAAGAACATCTGCAGAATTTCAGATAGCTGCAAATTGCGCAACTTGAACGGTCAAATGCTCCTTATCATCCGTCTCCGAGGAAATAGGAAATCAAGGACCTTCTTAGAGCCCCAGTTGTCCCAAGCCGGCCTTTGAGTCAATGTATTAGTCTCTCTATAAACCATTTGCCGTCCTCTCCACTTCATTTTACAATCAATCTCATAAATTTATACGTAATTAATCGTTCACATATCGGTACCAGATGGTCGGACAAAACAGTTGGAAAATGTGGTGCAGGGCAGACCACTTCGCACTGACACTTGCAGTCGTCGGTTTTCAGTGTCTACGGTCGGCTTTTGCAATGGGAGAAAAATCCGGCTGCGCAAAGGAGCATAGGTGCGCTCCAAGACTAGCTTCTCTCGTTCCCGCTCATGGACATACCTTCACTTCTCCGCGTACCCTGCTTCCACCACCATCCGTCAGTTCCGCACTTAACGTTGCACCCTATCCAGGTAACTTTCCCTCTGCCTTAAACCGAACCGTTGCCAATAAGCAGCTGGTGGAACATTACTAGAATCTGTTAGTCGTTGGAAGGTTAAGTATGGATTTTTTGTGCTTCCTGTGGTGCTGGATATATTCTCCCCGCTGAATAGCTTTCCTTCGGTAGGTAATTCCCGGGAAGAACCTATCATGTCATGGAAAGATGGCACCGCCGAATATGCTGTTCAGAATATAGCGCTGGAATATAATCCAGGAACATGCCACATATAACAGTGATGTAAGGCACTAGACAGCATCCTAAATTTAATAGCTGTCAATGGCAGAGAGGAACTGCAAGATCGTCAATGAGGTTGTCTAAATAGGCAAGAATTGTCTGTCAGCCATGTTTGACTGCGAGTCTCAAGGTCCTACACTACTTTCATCTCTCAACCTCTATCTACATACTTACTCAATCATCACCCTCATCCTCCACGACAGTCATCGAAAGACAGCCCATTCTTTAAATGGGCTAGTTGATCCAACTTCTTTTTGTTTTTAAGAAGGTGGGATGGGGGAAGCGGACAGCTCGCCTTGTTTCCGTTCTTGACTGATGGAAACTCTAGGAAATGGCGCCTCCTAGATTTCCACTTCATGCTGATATGCAACTGATCCCAGCAGCACACAACGTTGACTGGGAGTGGGGGAGCGTGGGCCCACATCGCAGTGGGCTGTCCATGTAGGCCCCATTTCGGCGCTAGAGCGGCAGCCAACATCAGTTAAGTCTCCGGATAAGACATCTACCTGTTATTTCAACAAAAGCTTCCAACATATTAAGTGAGATGGTGAGTATTGTAGAAAAATGCTTCCCACAGTTGATACGAGATGGCACCTATGTAGCCGCAATTTCAGTCCTATCAGGGAATGACTCATTAATTTAAAACCCCAGGACCTTTCATGCGGTACTTAATTTTCTATAGAGAATATACGGAAGGACACTCGAATTTCTCAAATCATTTGTTTAAACAGTTTAAACAGTCCATGGAGACTCCTGTTAATCGTGGAGGAGACATGGTTCAAACAGGAACTTCACTCAATAGTGTGGGATAAAGACCCTCAGCTTCACTCTATTGAAGAGGCTCCATTTGACTACCACTCAGGGGAAGCTTCATGTGTTTTAGAAGATATGCTCATCCAAATCTTTCGGGAGAAGCACTTCCATAACGGATGAAGAGACGAGTGAAATCACCATGGGGCTCATATCTCGTAAGGAAAGTGAAGGTCTCAAAAGATGACAATCGAAGGAAGCACTTCTCCTTGGAGTACGTCCAGCCAAACCGAGAGAGATGGCAAGGTCCCAGGTAGGGGAGGTGAACAATTATTTACAAATATAGAACCTCAATCGAAACCTTCTTTTATCGCCTGAATGTCATGCCGCACGTCGATATGTGACTTTTCTTCCCAACGCGGCTCCGCCGGACTAGCCTACAGGGACCAACGTTGGTTCCCAACGTTGGTCCCACATCGCACATGTGGAACTCCTACATAGACCCAATGTTAGTCCAACCAAGGTGTGCTGCCAGGGTAGAACAGACAGAAAAAGCATATTGCCTTGAGTGAAGGAAAAGAAGTTAGAATGACGGGAAACTGTTGCATGAAGAGGATTCCAACCCAGCTCAAATGACTATTTAGAGTTGTGCAAAAGTTCCCGTACACTTCGATTAGCGCTTCGATTCCAGCTCCAGAGGAAAAAATTCAAATAAAGAGTGAAATTTACTATAATGAAAACATTTCGCATCAAAAATGTCCGTATAATTAAGCAAAAAATATAGATCAGAATCGGCAAAAATCCGTTGATTAGTGAAATAATTAGATTTTCAAAGTGTACGGGAACTTTCGCACGACCCTGTAGAATGAAACTGAAGACAAACCTCATCTCTCTTTCCGGCAGAGAGGACATGCCAGAGCAATTATGGTACAAATATAATGTTCATCAAATAGGTATTTAATGAATTTCAAGATTTTTAAGTTTGATTCAACATGAAACCGAAAATGGGGAAATTATTCCGAGACATTCCTAATTGAAATTATTTAAATTTAGTTCGTACGTAGAGGAAAACTTAAGGCATTACAAATAAAATGCTATTCCATTCCTACAGAAGGCCTTTCATTCTAAGAACAAAGCAATAGCAGTATTGCATGTCATTGTCCTGTTCTCCTTTCTATTTCAAACCAGAAGCAATGACGATTGGATTGCAGCATGGACAACTTCCAGCCAGAAGTCCCTGAATAAAGAGCTGCATTCCATCAAACGTACTATCTGAGCTATGTATTGAGCCCTTGGAAAAAGCATCCGGTACTGCAGGCACCAGCTGTCAAGGCAAATCGTAACGGATAAAAATGTCTGGGAAGTGTTAGGAGAGAGCGTAGTTGCAGTGAGAAGAAGAGGAGCTGGAGAGGGTTGCATTTTCTGCCCATTCGGGAAATTTGGAGAAGTCGAAGAGCCCACGCCCTAACGTGTTGATCATCAAGTTGATCACAACAACGCAGATCACGTTCACGACGAATCCGGCCTTAATCTGCATCGGAAAGAATCGCATGAAAAGAGAAATTATCGAATCTCCAGAAGTAATGGGAAAAAGAAACTGTCATGGCGTACCATGCTGATGGTCTTCATCTGGGTGGCCTCGTAGACTATGGCATTAGGTGCGGTTGCCACTGGGAGCATGAAGGCATAGGAGCAAGCCAAAGTCGCTGGCATCATCAGGTACAGAGGATTCACCTTCACTGCACTCGCCTACGTAAGAATATGCGAAGCAAAGAAAAAAATCACAAAGTGAAATATAACTACGGGTTTTTCCAAAGCATTTTCATGCTAGATTTGTCCTACATTCGACAGTGGTGGAAAACACTGAGGAAAATAAAACCGCACTAGAAAGACTGCCTTTGCGGAGGGATTGCTATCTAGTTATGAAAGTGAATGGAAATGGTGTCGTACAAGCTGGGCAAGAACGGGAATGAGGATGGTAGCCGTGGCCGTGTTGGAAGCCACTTCCGTTATCATGGTCGCCATGAGAGTGGTGATGAAGACAAGAAGCGCTGGTGACATGAAATCCAAACTTCTCATTTGCTGACCTAGGAAATATGACAAGCAGGATGTCTTAGAGGCCTCCGCTATCGCGAATCCCCCTCCAACGAGGAAGATCAACCCCCAGGGGATTTTCTCGTGGAGGATGCTCCAGTTAAGAAGGGCCGGACTCCGCTCCGATGATTTATCTAGAATGAAATAATTTCCGAATCCAAATATACTGTATAGGACGAAGGCATTAACACTTACGTCCCGTGCCTTCACGGTAAGGAAAGATAAGGTAAAGCATTGAAATCACCATTTCTGAAAGTCCAGATTCCTTGGGATCACTTGACGCAAATTATGTCTATGAGCCATTTCTTACATGATTAATTTTATCATTACTACTCTTGAGTTTGTTTGCCCTTCGGACAAACAAACTCTCTGTGGTCACGCCTTCGGCGCTCCATTATCCTGAATCGTGATTAATTCTCTATTTCATTTTCGAAGTGGTAAACATGTACTGTTCGTCCTTGTCGAAATATATGCCGGGAGGGGTCGTCACCAGGATTTTTATCGAAATCATTACTTAGATGATTTCTTATGTGCCGAACTTCAGGTTTCTTCATGTACAACTTTTTGAAAGAGGGGAAGATTTATATTGAACTACTTCATTCCCACAATTTGCCCTAAGATATAGTTCGACAATTTTTCTGCAATCAGCAATTGGATTGGTACTTCTGAGCCAAGTTTTAACTTTCTGTTGCTCTCTGTTTTGTTTGATTGAAAAAGATCCCGAAAATGCACCTCTCACGAAATATGTGCTCTGAAGGGTTTTACCTATCAAATAATATTTTTACATGAATTCAGAGAACGCCGCGTAGGATGTAAGCTACATGACGTCCTGATAGTTGTGTATTGTGGCGCCAAAGACGGCTTTCATAAATAAATAAATAAATCTCAGGGATGACCATTCCATGAAATTGGGACTGTGCATTGTCGTAACAGAATATAATGCCAAAGTTGGTTGAGACTTATTGAAAGGGAAAATGAAAAAGATTACCTGATGATTCTCGGAAGCACCAGAATATCGGTTTTGCGGGGATGATGAAGAAGAAAAAAGTGATGAGTATGGCAGGAGTTGCATCTCCGATGTTCAAATCCCTGAGAAAAGGTGCGGTCGGTAGGTTCTTGTCATCTATAGTACTTCGCGGAGGCAGATGGACAAGAAATGGCAGCAAAAGGAAGTACGTACCGATCGCCTATGATCAATTCGCCCCATCCAGTGATAAACTGCGGATCTCTGAAGAACCAGAGCAGGATGAGGATGATGAACAAGATTAGAGTCATGAATTCATGGAAAGACATGGATCCAAGTTCCTTGTACTTCATGTCGATAACGGCGCGAGCTGCTATTTCTAATTTTCTCGTTTCACCTCGACTTGCTCCACTTTTCCCTAGGTGCTTCCGACGCTCCCACCATCTACAGATGATGGTGCTCATATACGATCGACAGGAGATCTGAACATCAAGTTCGTCACTCGTCACTCACTGGTCGAAGAACGTCACTCACTGGTCTAAGAGGAAATTGCCATGGAGCCAGAGCCAGGCGAGGATGACATTAAGTAGCATCCCTGGGACACTGAAGGCCATCCAAGATCCATAATTCAGTCCTGTCTCAGACCCGTACATCCTGGAAATTCAAAGTGATTTTTCTTTCTTAGTACTATCCCTCCCCAGTCCAGAAGAATCCACGAAATCAAGAATGACATGAGATCTAAATTATAGCACGCTAAAAATGAAATATAAACTACTAGATTTAGGCAATCGTGAATCTGAGGGTATGCAGATGTAGGAAGTGACATACTCGTCCACGTATCCCTTAAGGAAAAGATTTGGAGTTGATCCGGTTAGGGTCCCCGTCCCCCCTAAGCCTGCCGCATAAGCCACGGCCAACAAGACTTGAATCCGGGCTTCTTGGTAGCCTTCCCTGAATTCCGCCTGCCCGTTCTCCTCCACGTTTTGCTGCTCCCTGCATCCATTTATGCAGGAAGACATATTGAGTTCGTTAGGGTGGGGGTCTTTCGTGATGGTTGCTAGTCGACATTGATTTTCCACTTTCCGATTTTTGTCCTTCCCCCGAAGCGTTAGTATAGATATAATCTCTCACCTAGGAAGCATATCATTGCACATTGTTTCTTTTCGTTTTGCGAGCTATGGTCACGAACGAAGGAGATTACGAGCATGCGCATATGTCTCGTTCATCTGAACCCTTAAAATTAGGGCTGTCACGATAGATCGATGCATCGATACCACTATCGATAGTTGGAGATATCGATAGTGTTTTCGACCATTGCAATGCATCGGCAAAATATTTTAAAGGGGAAATGTCCCATTGAATTGAGGCGAGTACTGTACAATACAGTCCGTCCGGGCGAGGAAAGGAAGAAGCGGCGTGACACGCATGGGCGAGCAATTTCTTATCACAATCAAATTCTGGAAATTTTGAGACTGACTATATGAAAGACGTGAAGGGAAAAAAAAAGTCGGATCGGAGACAGGAAGTGAAAAGAGAGGGAAGCTTAACGAACGAGGTACCACAGTGGTACCTCGCATAACGAATTGCGTTCGTTATGCGAGGTACCACTGTATTGAATGCCACGAAGGAGAATGGAGGGACGCTGAAGGTCTTCGTGTGAAGGCCACGTATGAGAAGTAAAATCAGAACATGAAGGAAGCGTGTAAACTTATAGGGGATTTTGCTTCTTGGCCTCATAGACGACTTTGTGACAACGCATGGGTGGAAAGAGATTTCCCTCGCTTCTTCACATGGCTTCAATCCTACTTTTCCAAAAGCAGGAATCACGATTTCCAAACCTTCCTTGCCTATCGTCTCGAAAAATGTGTAATTTCTTGAAATTCCTCTTGCAAGAACAGGGACAGTTGCAATGATGACTGGGTGCAGAGTTGGGAGAACCACCACAACAGAAACGAATTTTTACGATGACGGCTGGTTAGACTAATCGTTTCTACATTCTGGAATGGCATTCTCCGAATCCAGTCGCAAGCTTTAAGTCTCGATTGAGGCAATCGTGAGAACAAGGTCTTGATTTTCCCATTTTCTGCGAGGAACTCTCAATCCGGATTATTTCGAACCGACGGCCACAAAATTTGCATACACTGCAAGAAGGAACCTTTAACATGCTTGAACATTAAAGAGAAACAAACTATGGGTATCATTAATAAATCGTTTAAATGTACTGCGGTTTCTTCTGATGTGTAGGAATTTTTTGGCGATGGCATCACCTGTCACATCGTCAACACTGGTTTATTCACGATTACCTACATTTCAAGTAGGGCTGTCACGAAAGATCGATGCATCGATACCATTATCGATAGTTTTTTCGACCATCGCGATGCATCGGCAAAATATTTTAAAGGAGAAATGTCCCATTGGATTGAGGTGCGCACTGTACAATGCAGTTCGTCCGGACGGGGAATGGAAGAAGCGGCGTAACACGCATGGGCAAGCAATTTCTTATCACAATCAAATTCTGGAAATACTGAGACTGACTATATGAAAGACGGGAAGGGGAAAAAAAGTCGGATCGGAGGCAGGAAGTGGGAAAGGAGGGGGGGGAAAGGCCAATAATATTTTTTTTTGTCGTCCGTTTCAGTCTCCGGCTCGATCTCATCAGGTGCATGCTGCGGAAGTGGACTGTTCTTATACTGCCTTCATTTCGAAACGTACATTGGTTAATCTCCTCTCTATATTCCTGTCTATCAAATTAGTATGCAGGCTTAACTTCTACTTGTCTTGGGACGTTTTATCTCTACTTAAGGTGAAATCAAAGTGAATTTTTTACATGGACGTTGCTTATTCGAGGGCTGCACTGATGTTTCGGCAACCGCCGGTATGGCTCCATCAGCAGGTTTCCTATCTGCCGGTGCCGATGTCCAAAGACAGTGTAGAACAAAGAAAATTAGGACTGTCCTGATGCATCCATCGATGAATGGATGTCATCTTCGATCGTTGCAGGCATGGTAGGTTTCATTATTCTTTGCGAAGGTCACACATTCCCCTTGCACCCCCGATCACAAGCGTGAGATTATGGAAGCAGGATATAAGTCCGCGCTCCGATCGCGGCGAGAAAAGATGGAATCCTCCGTTTTGAAAACTGCTATCGTGACAGCCCTACTTAAAATCTTACTATCCCAGTTGCATATCTAAGTCGGATTGGGAGCCCATTAAGCAAATTACGTCAGCGGCTGCATAAAAAATTAATATTTGTTATCGCTTTCATTAATATATAATACGACGGTTGTTCGATAATTTTTCGCAAATTACCTAAAAATACCCGCCACAACTTCGCTACGAGAACAACCGACGGACTTCTTCCTGAGAGGGAAAAATCTTTACCCATGCGATGCCAGAAATGCTTTGGTAACGGTGAAAAATATTTTAAAGAATAATAAGGTACATCACTCATGGTTACTTTCATGATAATGTAAATATTATTGGCAGTTTTGAAAATATTTTCCAGAAACTCGAAGAACCCTCGTATTCTTATGGTTCGCGTTTTCTATGAATATTGATTGTTAACTTCATTGTTATCTCACTTGGAATTTTACTTATTGATGTTTTTCTTAATCTTTCGAGAAATCACGACTTTTGCTTCCTACCAAAGAAGTTTGAAATTGGTTAAATCTGAGTGGAAGTATTGTCAAGATTTGGATCTAGGTCCGCGTCTGCGATGATCTTGGAATACACTACACAAATTGGTATAATTCCACGGGACATTTTTCCGATGGCACTCTTCACCTAATCTATGAGAACTGCTTTTTCCCGACACTTGGATTTCCAGTTTTCGTGGAAACCAGGAGTTTTGCCGATCTCTGTCGTGTTCAAATATTAGTGTCATATTGGGAGACGCGATTTGATGCCATTGTGTTAATGTGGTATCAGATGAGTGATATGAATGATATGAACTCACTCGTATTCAATCTCGAGGAAATTAAGACTGGTAGATGCGTCAGACATATGTCGCTCTGTCAGCTGCCGGAGGTATTGCAAGTTGTTGAGCTGTCTGCTACCTCGTGGAGATCCGGTCACCGGCCCGTTACTGTTTTCTTTCTGAACGGTATGACCAATTGAGAACCATCTTACGTGCTGTAGGAGAAAGAGAGAGAGGGCTAGGAAACGTTATTCAAGTCCTTACGCGGTAGATTTCGATTAGGACCGCTTCCACGATGGGAATCATCATGGCCGTTGTTGCGGTGTTGGTGATCCACATGGATAGGAACATCGTTGCCAGCATGAACCCCAGCATCAACCTGCCACGTTACCAAAAGGACCTACGGTTGTGTTCTTTATATTTCAACTTGTTCTGAGACTGCTATTGTAATTATCGTTATTTCCGCTCAACGCATCTGCGAATCGGCCTTGAATGAGATGAACCGGAAAGCAATGCTTAATGACTTGGAAACCAGTAATTGGCTGGGAGAGAGGAAACCATAGCGAATGAAAACGGACCATTTCTGGGAAGTTCCTATCCAGAGGAGGAACCTGAGGGCGACCCTCTGGTGCAAGTTGCAGTGCTCCACCGCAAGCGCGACCATGATGCCTCCTGTACATCAGCACATCTTAATCTTTCATCGTCACACCCGAGCAGAATATGGCCAAAGAAGTGATGGCATACCGATGAACATTATGATGCTCTCCCTGATGTACAATTGGCAGACCTCAGAGGTACCAAGGACCCCGAGAAGTGGGAAGAGAAAGACCGGCATGAGGGACGTGATGGCCATGGGTATGGCATCCGTCATCCAGAATGCCACCATGACGAGGACGGCATATGCACACCTTCCCTCCTTCTGCAAGTCCATTTCATGTAACCATGATTGATTTTCAGTGATAGCAGGGATATACCCTTTGTTCACCTCGCCAATTAACATCTATTGCAAGATCTCACTGGATGGAATGCAATGATAGACAAATACGACACACCCATCCACCAACCAATACCGTGTTTTATGTTTTATACACTCCCAATTTACTTCGGGCTTTTAAACAGTACGTTTCCACAGGTGGCAAGTTTTGAGACGATAAGAAAAAAACTTAGCCTATCCTGAGAAACATAGGCCGTTGCATAATGACCGTATCGCAGGAAAACAAACAGGAGTGCTTTTATATCTGACCGGAAAACAGCAGAAGAATAGCCTAACATATGACCTAAGTCTAAGTCAAGCTAATTATGATTTTATGGCATCCGAACACCATAGATAAAACGTAGGACAGATAACGTTTTACTGCATCTCTAGGACAAGGTCGATGTTGCCGCGCGAACACAAGCAGACTCGTCGTCTGCTTGAAGCCCGTGTCTGAATGGTCGACAGGATCGTGGGGAGGTGTCGTCTGCTTGCGAAGCCCAGTTATCCCTTCGCGATCCCATCGCTTTGACATTGAGGAAAGGTTGGAGGAAGGTCGGTCGAAGGCTGGTCGACGTCACCTTATTACACATTGCATGGGCATGTGCTTGCGCACAGCTTGCACACTAAAGCAGGACCTAGTCTTGGAAATATGACTGGCTATGACCACCTCATCTTCTCACGCCTTCGCTAAAAAATTTGGAGATTATGTTCCCCATTGCATGGATTATTGGTTGACGCTGACGATCCGCCCAAATTAAAAGATCCCATCGAGCGGGGAGAGAGACTCACCACTCGCTGTTCGGGGACGAAGAGAAGAGGGAGAGCCAGCAGAGGGACAAGGATCACGACCCAGCTCTTCCAGAAGGGGAAGATGTGCGACATCCACATCTCTTTCTCCGCCGCCGTACATGCCATCACGATCACTTTCAATGGACGCTGGACCACCACCGCTATAAGAGGTCTTCGAACACAGTTCCCATAGTTGACACTTTCTCCCCGCACTCTGACTGATAGAAATAGATCTCACATCGTGAAGGACGAGTTTTTCTGGACCGTTTTCGCCTCCCCCTTAGTAGATCTGTTCGCCTCTCTCCCCTGCTGATGTGAGCCCTAGTGAGCGAATAACCAGTATCTCATGTGTTCCCCTGGACTTACAATCGACTGGGATTAAAGAGATAAAAGCTCTTACGTTCTCCTTCCGATGCGTGAAGGCAATTGATATCACTTAATACGAGGGATGAACCAAAATAAATGGGTAATATTTTATTATCTCCACATACCACGATGGTACAAACTTTAAAAATATATTATCTCTCGACCGAGTCACAATTTGAAGCACTTTTACCATCCAACCAACGTTGCAATTCCTGTTTGTATTAATAGAATTCGTCATATTCTCACTCCGATATTCTCCCTGATCACTTACGTCTATGCAAACCTTTGAAAATGAAATTAAAGTAAAGGCATGAGGCAGCACAACTACAAAAGTACTGAAATAGGTCGTGTCAAACATCCAAGGTTGTTGATTATTAAAGTTAAACGGGACACACGTGAATCGTTACAATGAAACAAATCCTGCCCATGTCTTCTCTAATTTTTATGTGTATTGCATCGATATGATAATTAATTTGAAACCCCAGAAAGAGATAAAATTACCATTCCTGGTACTGGAATAGTAATTGTATCTCCTTCTGGAATTATCGTGCTTTTAGAGCATCTTCTACGTTGTATCCGCCTGATTTAAATGTACGAGTATGGACCAGCTCGGAAATTCTCGCCTTGAGGACATTTCCAAACACTTCTGTTTCGCGATAATGACAGGACTGACTTCATGATTTGAAAGTTTTTACATTCAATACTTTCAATATTAAAATATACATTTCCCGTAGATTTTTCTTTTTTCCCTCCAATGAAGCCTTTGTTTTTTGTTTGTTTCTCCGATTAGCAATGAACTACGGTGATTGTATTGAAACTGAAAGGGGGCTTATTTGGAGAAATGGCATTTATGGAGTTTAATTAGCAGGAATTAATTTACAGAATTTAATTGCCCGCCAAGAGCATTGCTCCAGGTTCTCGTTTTGGATAATACATACCAACATACATACAATTTCGATACCGCTTATTCCCACCTAATGGGATCGCGGTTTGAACATGTCCAGGAGCGCCCTCCAATGGTCCTGGGCAACTACAGGTAACTCAAGCTCAGCTGATGGAATGCGGAGCCTCTCGTTACAAAGCCGAGCGACGTAACCTTGTTCGAGGTGACAGACACGTCCAAAAACCACCTGATCTCAGACCTCTCGATCCCGAGAAGCACCTGCTCGACGGGAAGGCTCTGGGATGGCAGAGTTCCACTTCCAATCACGATGCGCTTACGTCAGCTACTCGACGCAAGAACCTCAATTTCGCTGTTTGTATTCACAATCTAGTTTTATCGGTCATTACCAGAAGTTCATGACCATAGGTGAGAGAGGGGAGGGAACACTCATAGAAACCGAGAGTTTCGTTTCCCAAGAAACTCCGATCAGGCAAATGCTGTTCGCCAATGATCTCACAGAACAATAGAAGCCTTGAAGATACCGTTGTTGATCTCCTTTCCATGTCGTCTGTCTCTGGAGAACCAGACCCAAAGGTATAGGGCGATCATTTTAAGTGAGAACCCAAGAAATCATTAATAATTGTTGCCAGGAAAGAGCTGGGATCATGAAAATTGGTAGTAACGTACTTTTATTATCTGGAAAGACGTACCGAGTACTGGTTTGTTACAAAAGGTGTTGAAATTGACCACCGCCATTTTGGAAACACAACTGTGCACGTCTGAGCATGCTGGAAGACACTGCCTGTGATGTGGTGGGTGGGATGTCGGCAATGAGTTACGAGATGTTTTTCAATTAATCTAAAATGTGTGGATTATTGTTGTAGACATTGTCCTAAACATAGCCCCATAGGTAGAAATCCAAAGGCGACAGATCTGGTGAGCGTGGGAACCACAATCCTTTCGAAATGATGCTTTCCCCAAACAAGAGGGAAAGGTCGGTCATACTCTGCCTCGATATATGACTTGTTGCACCACCTTGCTGCCACCGTGCTCTGCCAATCTCCTCTTCAGTCAGGTGTCCAAGAAATTCATGGACTACATCAATGTACCGTTGAGAGATTATGGTGTCTGAAAAAGATGGGTCCCACAATCCTGCGCTGGGTTATTGCTCACCACAATCAAATACTCAGAACGTTTCTCCAGTTAACTAAGTACGTTACTACCAATTTTCGTGCTCCCAGCTATTTCTATCCCAAAATTAATTGGTTTCAAGGGTTCTTACTTGAAATGATCACCCTGTACTTGAACCTTTTCCAGTGGGATCCCCTGACATGCAGGGTATACTGTACAAGATTTCTTGAGAGGACCATGACCTGTGTCTTGGAAACGCTTGGTTTCATTCCGGCCGCAGTTCATTCGGAGTCGAACAGATCGAGCACGTTCTGGAGCTCCTGTCAAGAACGGGTCAAAAGGACGGCGTCAACGGCAAAGAGAAATATCCTTACCGTGACGCCACCGATGTTGACCCCTCCAGGCCGAGGTCGTGCCAACAGATCTTGTCCATGTACACGAGGAACAGCATATGAGAGAGGACACAACCCTACTGGAGTCCAGCGCTTACCAGGAACCAATCCAAACTCATCCCGCACACTGGAACGCAGCTCCTGCATTCACTGAACGGCGCGCAGAAGCTGACCATTGATCCCATACTCTTGCAGAACTCCCCACAGCTTCCCTCGGGGCACACTGTCGCAAGCTTTTCGAAGTCTGTAAACATTTTTGGCGTACTCCCAATGCCTCTCGAGAATGTGGTGGGGAGTGAAAAGCTGGTCCGTGGTGCTGAGACCTTCACGAAAGCCACACTGCTCCTCCACAATCACCCGAGCTCTCTTTCCTAGCATCTTGGAATAGATTTTACCAGGTACGCTGAGGAGTATGATCCACGGTAGTTCATGCACTCAGCCCGAGCCCCCCTCTTAGAGAGAGAGGAACCACCACACAGGTTAGCCAATCCCTAGGAGCTATCCCCGATTCCCAAGCGGTCTGACACACCCTATACAGCCACGAGCACCCAACTGTGCCCATTGCTTTCAGAACCTCTGACCGGATTTCATCCACACCAGGAGACATCCCATTCTTCAGGCTGACGATAACCTGCAGAACTTCCTTCACGTTTAGACTAGTCTCCTCGCCGAAAAGCTTCACTTCGGGTAGGTCAGTGTCCGCTGAGGGTGGGTTTAATTGCTCCTCAAAGTGTCCCTTCCACGTCTCAAGTACATCCTCGGCAGCCAGTACCTCCACGTTTCGGTCTTTGATGACCCCGGAGAGTATGCCCCCTGCCCTGCCGTTACAGTCAGATGGTTTCCAGAACACTTTGGTGGCAGTGCGGTAGTGCGATTCAATTTGATTGTCGAATTTCTTGCACGCCTCCTGTTTCGTTTCGACCAGCAGTTCGGAGCGCCTCTGTGTTGCATGCCCTCGAAGAGTCTGACCTATTGCAGCATAAGCCCAATAAGCCACCTTCTTCGCTGTAACAGTCTCGCGCACCGCTGGTGTCCAGCAGGGAGTACGCTTGTCGCTACCGTGCGCCATCCTGATGCACCTCTTCCCATACACTATTGCTGCCGCTGCCGAGACACCAGATCGAAATATAGCCCATTCTGTCTCTGCATCTGCCGTCGCGGGTAGCGGTTGGGAGCACTTTTCACCGATCACCCTGGCAAACTCGGCACGAGTTCCTTCATCGCAAAGGACATCCCACTGGGGGGGAAATAAAATACCGGAACGAATTTCACATCTTCAAAAGGCGAGATTTAGTGTTCACCACAACCCCGGGGAGATGGAGCTTCAAACTAGCTGGAATGATTCTGTGTTGAGAGAAGAAGAAGAATACCAAATTTCGTTCATGTTGAAGCATTCAGAGAGGAATTCGAGGATGTTGAATTTTGTTATGGAAAGTAGCTGAAGAAAGGTAATAGGTGCTACCGCGGCTATTGATTACTAGCGAGTTTGTTTGCCCGAAGGGCAAACAAACTCGCTATGGTCGCGCCTTCGGCGCTCCATCACCTTGGATAGTGGATTAATTCATTTATTCTTTGCGAAATGGCAAGCACGTATGTAAAGTACGTCCTCATTGAAATACGTGACAGATGGGGACGAAAGTCTTGATTTTTATCAAAACCATT